CAACCCTCTGTCCCCAGCGGTCCGCACAGTCCCCGTGTGGTTCAGGACATATCGTCGGCTTTGGCGTTGGGGGGGGGGGGGTGTGTGGGGCCACGGCGGGACACGGTGGAGGGGCCTGGCTGACTCCCTCTCCTGGACAGAGACTCCCTGAGGGCCAGCGGTCAGCCTGGCGGGCTGCGGGTTCAGTGTCCTGCAGGTCGGTGCCGCCGCAGGCTCCGCTGCCAGTGTCTGCGCTGGTAGGTGGTGGCGTCTGTGTAGGTGACCCTCAGGCAGTGGCTCTCCAGGCCCCCACCCCATGTCAAAGGCAAGGACCCTTTTGGATGGGAGGATGGATGGATGGGAGGATGGATGGATGGGAGGCTGGATGGATGGGAGGCTGGATGGATGGATAGGAGGATGGATGGATGGAAGGATGGATGGATGTATGGGTGGATGGATGGATGGATGAATGGATGGATGGATGGGAGGGTGGATGGATGGAAGGATGGATGGATGGATGGATGGATGGAAGGATGGATGGATAGGAGGATGGATGGATGGGAGGATGGATGGATGGATGGATGGATAGGAGGATGGATGGATGGGAGAATGGATGGATGGAAGGATGGATGGATGGATGGGTGGATGGATGGATGGATGGATGGGAGGATGGATGGATGGAAGGATGGATGGATGGATGGATGGGAGGATGGATGGATGGAAGGATGGATGGATGGGAGGATGGATGGATGGAAGGATGGATGGATGGATGGATGGATGAATGGATGGATGGGAGGGTGGATGGATGGAAGGATGGATGGATGGATGAATGGATGGATGGGAGGGTGGATGGATGGAAGGATGGATGGATGGAAGGATGGATGGATAGGAGGATGGATGGATGGGAGGATGGATGGATGGATGGATGGATAGGAGGATGGATGGATGGGAGGATGGATGGATGGAAGGATGGATGGATGGATGGAAGGATGGATGGATGGATGGATGGATGGATGGGTGGATGGATGGATGGATGGATGGATGGAAGGATGGATGGATGGATGGATGGATGTGAGGATGGATGGATGGGAGGATGGATGGATGGAAGGATGGATGGATAGGAGGATGGATGGATGGATGGGAGGATGAATGGGAGGATGGATGGATGGGAGGATGGATGGGTGGATGGATGAATGGATGGATGGATGGATGGATGGGAGGATGGATGGATGGGAGGATGGATGGATGGGAGGATGGATGGGAGGATGGATGGATGGGAGGATGGATAGGAGGATGGATGGATGGATGGGAGGATGGATGGATGGAAGGATGGATGGATGGATGGATGGATGGGTGGATGGATGGATGGATGGATGGATGGAAGGATGGATGGATGGATGGATGGATGTGAGGATGGATGGATGGGAGGATGGATGGATGGAAGGATGGATGGATAGGAGGATGGATGGATGGATGGGAGGATGGATGGGAGGATGGATGGATGGGAGGATGGATGGATGGATGGATAGATGGATGGATGGAAGGATGGATGGATGGATGGGTGGATGGATGGATGGATGGATGGATGGGAGGATGGATGGATGGGAGGATGGATGGATGGGAGGATGGATGGGAGGATGGATGGATGGGAGGATGGATAGGAGGATGGATGGATGGATGGGAGGATGAATGGGAGGATGGATGGATGGGAGGATGGATGGGTGGATGGATGAATGGATGGATGAATGGATGGATGGGAGGATGGATGGATGGGAGGATGGATGGATGGATGGATAGATGGATGGATGGAAGGATGGATGGATGGATGGATGCAAGGATGGATGGATGGAAGGATGGATGGATGGAAGGATGGATGGATGGATGGATGGAAGGATGGATGGATGGATGGGTGGATGGATGGATGGATGGGTGGATGGATGGATGAATGGATGGATGAATGGATAGATGGGAGGATGGATGGATGGGAGGATGGATGGAAGGATGGATGGATGGAAAGAAGGATGGATGGATTGGAGGATGGATGGGTGGATGGATGAATGGATGGATGGGAGGTGGATAGATGGATGGAAGGATGAATGGATGAAAGGATGCATGGAGGATAACTGGATGGATAGACAGACAAAAGGATAGATGGACCAATGGATGGATGCGTGGGCTAGCAGGCAGATGGACAAGTAGATGGACAGATATTTGCGTGCATGGATGGACGGGTGATGGACGGATAAACAGGTGGATGCTGATGAGGGATGGACAGACAGACAGACTGACCGAGGGCTGGGTGGGCATTCGGCCAGATGAACTGCCAGGTAGACAGACGGACAGGGAGCTGGATGGATGGATATTTGCATGTCTGGATGGACAGAGGAAAGACTAAGTGGGCAGATATGGACGACAGGGGTCCGCATATCCATACAGGTGGAGGCCTGGCTAGCTGACAGAGACATAAAATGAGAATTTAGGGCTAGAGCGATAGCACAGCGGGGAGGGCATTTGCCTTGCACATGGCCGACCCGGGTTCAATTCCCAGCATCCCCCAGGGTCCCCCGAGCACCGCCAGGAGTAATTCCTGAGTGCAGAGCCAGGAGTTAGCCCTGAGCATCGCCGGGTGTGACCCCAAAAGCAAAAAATAAATAAAAAAAATAAAATTAGAATTTATAATAAATTCCTTGCACGCCTGAGTGGGTAGAGCTAAACGGGTTTTGGGAGTCAGAAAGGAAGGACAGCCAGCAGCCTGGGCACCCTGGGAATCTAGTTCTTTCCACGGAAGGCCGTGCTGAAGGGCTGGTTGCTGAATTCTGCTGGATTCTGCCGGATTCTGAATGCCTTGGGCATCAGGGAGGAGGGAACCAGTTTGAGAAGAAAAAACAAAAAAGGATTTCCAAGGGTTTGCAGGGATTGGAAACCAATGTGGGGAAAAAAGAAAAAAAAAAAAGCGTTGAGCAGCTGTGGTCTGGGCGGTGTTGGCTAAGAGGCTGGAAGTTTCTTTCGGAGGAAACAGAAGCTGAGGCTGGAGGGAGGGGCTGACCAGGGCAGCAGCGGCCAGAGAGGTAAGTGGTCACTGCCGCCTGGTGCCCACAGGTGGAAGCAGGGAGCACTGTTCCAGGAGTGTGCGTGCTGTGGGCGGCCGGAGGGGGGGCGTCTTCCCTCTCCAGCCGGGGTTGATCTGCGGTGTGTCCGCCCCAGCCCTTCCCTCGAGCCGCGGAATTAGGTCAATGAGGCAGAGAAAGAAAAGTGGGTGAAAAACGTTCCCGGTGAGTGAGGCTCCCGGAGAGGAAATTATTGTCAATTTTGGACGTATTGACCTGGACGCTGCTGCCGGTGATGAATGAGATGATGCAGGGAGAGTGGCCGGGAGCTGAGGGCTGCCTCAGAGGAAATGGTGGAGACCGTGGATGACTCACCCTGCGAGACCACGGGGGCTCGGAGCTCAGTGCCGAGGGGGGCTCGCGGGGGGCCCCCGGCAGCCCTCTGGGTCCCGATGAAAGGAGGCGGTTGGGGCCGCAGCGATGGGACAGTGGGGAGGGCGTTGGCCTGGCACGTGGCCAACCCGGGTTCGATCCCCGGCATCCCATAGGGTCCCCTGAGCACCGCCAAGAGTGATTCCTGGGCCAGGAGTCAGCTCTGAGCATCCCTGGGTATGACAGAGAGAGACACACAGAGAGACACACAGAGACAGACAGACAGACATGGGCAGGAGTGGTAAGGAGGGCATTGGTCTGGCCCGTAGCAGACCCGGGTTCGAGCCCCGGCATCCCATAGGGTCCCCCGAGCCCCGCCAGGAGTGATTCCTGAGTGCAGAGCCAGGAGTCGGCTCTGAGCATCGCTGGGTATGACAGAGAGACACACATAGAGACAGACAGACAGACAGACAGACAGACATGGGCAGGAGTGATAAGGAGGGCATTGGTCTGGCCCGTAGCAAACTCGGGTTCGAGCCCCGGCATCCCATAGGGTCCCCTGAGCACCACCAGGAGTGATTCTTGAATGCAGAGCCAGGAGTCAGCCCTAAGCATCACTGGGTGTGCCCCAAAAAAGCAAAACGCAAAAAAAAAAAAAAATAAATAAATAAAATAAAAGAAGGTAGTTGTGGTTGGGGGGTGAGGGGGAGTGCATCTCGCTGACACTTTGGGGGACCAGAAGGCACCAAGTTTCCCCCTCCTGGGCCTAGTTGGCCCAGCCAGAATGAGAGTCGAGGGGTTTAATTCTAGCACCTTCTGGCACCTTCCAGGTCTTCACGGAGCTGGTTTCCCTGGGCGTGTGGGGCCCTTGCCACAGTCACAGGGACCTGGAGTGGATGGGAGGCGGGGGGAGGGGAAGAGGGGGCAGGGCAGTGTGTGTCCTGCAGAAACAGGCCACTGGACGTGTCCAGCCCGGTTCCCCCTCCTGGACTCTGCTGGCCAGGCCCAGCCCTGTGAAGAACCAGGAGGTGGTGAAATTCTGCAGAATTCCTGGCAAAACCCCCCACCCCCGCCGCTCCCTGGCTCAGGGACGCCCCCCAGGACCCCCTGAGCCGAGTCTGCACTCTGCAGGGGCGAGAGGGTCTTCTGTTGGGCAGCAGCTGGCCAGTCCCCAGGGCTGGACAGGACGAAGGAGGCCGCCCTGGGAGGGGGGCGTGGAGGAGGGGCTTTTCCCGCCCCCTCTGCACACTCAGGGGGAGCCTGGAGTTTGCTGGGCTTCAGGCTCTTTTGCAGAAGGCGACCCCCTGCCCCCAGGCCCCGCCCCGCCCCGCCCCCGCCCCGGCCCCGCCCCGGCCCCGCCCCCGACCCCAGGCCCCGCCCCCGCCCCGGCTCCGTTCAGAAGGGACTGGGCGGGGCCTCGAGCCGGCGGCGGCGCCTCTGATTGGCGGCGTGGGCGGGACGAGGTCGCTGATTGGCGGCGTGGGCGGGACGAGGCCTCTGATTGGCGGCGTGGGCGGGACGAGGCCTCTGATTGGCGGCGTGGGCGGGACAACGCCGCTGATGGGCAGCGCCGCCGCTATAAAAGCCAGCAGCCGGGCTGGCGGGGCCAGCAGTGGCCAGCGGGAGAGGCAAGCTGGCCGTCACCTTCCGAGCAAGATGTGCAAGGGGCTGGCTGGTCTGCCCGCGTCCTGCCTGCGGAGGTAAGACGGTGGCTCTCTGCACGGTCCTCCTGTCCCTGCAGAGTGACCAGCACGGGTGACCACTCCTACGTGGGGGGGGGGGGGGCTGGGGCTCAGACCCGGCTGGACATTCCCCAGTCTGCCAAGTGCGCCGTGCAAAGAGCTGTGACCTTGGCTGCAGGGTCGCCCCTGAGGGTCAGGAGGGTCAGCTGGGCAGCAGAGCCAGCCCCGAGGGTGGGGGGTGGTGGTCAGTGCCTGCTGGACGACCCCCCACGTCCTCCCTGCTGATCAGGAGCCCCTGCTGGAAGGGCTTCTGGTGCTGGCTGTGGTCCAGGTGGCGTCTGGCGGTGCGGTTACTGGGGAGACCCCCTTACACTGCCCTGGACCCCTTGTCGGGGGGCTTCCTGCGGCCCCCCACCCCTGGGAGCTCTGTCCTGCAGGGGAGAAAATGCCCTTTCAGACCGGGGGACACCGGGCGCCCAGAGGGACCTAGCGCTGAAGCGAGATCGCGGCAGGGAATGAATCAGACGAGACGCACGGGCAGGACAAGGCGGGTGGCAGCCCGGGGGTGGCGGGGGGAACGCTCTGTCCCGGTCTCTAATGACCGTCCTCCCGGCGTCCACGCTGCAGAGGGGACTCAGCTGCCCAAGGTCAACCCACGCCAGGTGCCAGCGGCCGAGGGGGGCTCCCCTCAGCTTCCTGCCCCTTCCGGGGGCCCCGGGGTCCATCCGTGACCGTTTCCTGGGGCATTTCCAAGTCTGGACGGGCCCCCGGGACACGGATGACCCTCCTGGACGTGGCTCCCTGGGCGGCCCCTCGCACGCGTGATGTCACTGTGTCCCTCTCCAGACCCACTGGGGGAGCAGCGAGGGGCCGGCCGAGGGTGCAAGGGTTTTGGTGGGAACATGCCTGTGTGCGTGTGTATGTGTGTGTGCGTACATGTGTGCCCGTATATCCCCATGTGTTGACATGCGTGTGCATGTTTCCCCGTGTGCATGTGTGTGTGTCCCCGTGTGTGTGTGCGTGTGTGATGCGTGTGTGTGTGTACGCGTGTGTCCCCATGTGCCTGTGTGTGTGTCCCTGTGTGCACGCGTGTGTGTGTGTGCACGTGTGTGCGTGTCGTGTGTGCGTGTGTAGGTGGGCGCGGCCCCGGGGCTCGGGTTTTGGTCAGAGCTGGAACGGGGGCCACACTGACCCCTGCCCCCGCCCTCAGTGAGACTCTGGGCTGTGATGCAGACCCCCTTCCTGGTGCCCACTCAGCGGGGTCGCACATAGAAGCAGTAGGTGGGGTCAGTCACATCCTGTCCTCCCGCCCTGCCCCCCTGACCCCTCTCAGGCCCTGAGCACGACCCAGGGCACAGCCAGGTGGCCGTGGAGGTCACCACAGGGGACAGCGGGGCCCACAGGCTTCTGGCGGGGTGGGGGCCTGGCCGCCCGCACGGGGCCCTCTCCGTGCCGGCCGCGGCCCTCACCGCCCGCTGTCCCCTCAGCGCCAAGGACATGAAGCACCGGCTGGCCTTCCTGCTGCAGAAACCGGACAGCGGCCAGCTCGGGCCCCCCCGCGGCAGGAAGGACCGGGCGGCGCGGTGCCAGAGGTGAGGACACCGCGGGCGCGGGCAGGGGCGCGGCGGGGCGGGCGCCTCCGGGCCTGGCAGGGACCCGAGCGACTGTGTCCCCTGCAGGGTGAGCCCCGAGGACGTGAAGCGGTGGGCAGAGTCCCTGGAGAGCCTCATCGGCCACGAGTGTGAGTGCCCGCGCCCTCTGCCCTCCGCCCTCTGACCTTCCCGAGGGTTCGGTCCCCGGCACCCCACCGGGCCCCTGAGCCCAGCGCCAGGACTCGGCCCTGAGCCCGGCCGTGGCCCCGGACCCCGAACCCCGAACCCCAAATGAGGGCAGAACCCAGCCCCATTGGCCGAGCATCCCCGGGAAAGCCCGGCCCTGAGCACTGCTTGGGAGAACCCCGGGCCCCGGCGGGTGGCGCGTGCCGCGAGGGTCCCAGCCTCCCCCACCCCGCAGGCGGCCGGGCGGCCTTCAGGGCCTTCCTGCGCTCCGAGTACAGCGAGGAGAACCTGGACTTCTGGCTCAGCTGCGAGGCCTTCAAGCACAGCACGCCGGCCGGCCAGCTCGCACCCCGAGCACTGGACATCTACAGCGAGTTCATCTCCGTGCAGGCCCGCCGCGAGGTGGGTCTCGGGCCCGCTCCTCGGGGACACACGGGGCCGCGGGGCCGGTCTCGGCAGCTGGGGGCGTCCACGGCTGCCATCCCCCCCCACCCCCACCGGGGAATCGCCCGGGTGGGCGTGAGAAGGAACAGAGGCGGCGACTGAGACCCCGGCCTCAGCTCTGAGACCACTCACGGCTCTGTGCTCGGGGCTGACTCCCGGCTCTGTGCTCGGGGCTGACTCCCGGCTCTGTGCTCGGGGCTGACTCCCGGCTCTGTGCTCGGGGCTGACTCCCGGCTCTGTGCTCGGGGCTGACTCCCGGCTCTGTGCTCGGGGCTGACTCCTGGCTCTGTGCTCTGGACTCACTCCCGGCTCTGTGCTCAGGGCTGACTCCCGGCTCTGTGTTCGGGGCTGACTCCTGGCTCTGTGCTCAGGGCTGACTCCTGACTGCTCAGGGCTGACTCCCGGCTCTGTGCTCAGGACTGACTCCCGGCTCTGTGCTCAGGGCTGACTCCCGGCTCTGTGCTCAGGACTGACTCCCGGCTCTGTGCTCAGGGCTGACTCCCGGCTCTGTGCTCGGGACTCACTCCTGGCTCTGTGCTCTGGACTCACTCCCAGCTTTGTGCTCTGGGCTGACTCCCAGCTTGGTGCTCTGGACTCACTCCTGGCAGGCTCGCCCCTAGGGTGTGGGGGCTTAAACCCCGCAGGGGCCAGGCAAGCGCCCCTCCAGCTGTACTGTCCAGCCCTGGGCGGGCGGCGGGGAGGCCCGTCCACTTTCCTCCTTGCCGGGTGCATGTGACACTTCCGCGTCCCCTCCCCGAGCCTCCATCTGCGTCCTCCCCCCCCCCAGGTCAACCTTGACTCCTGCACCCGGGAGCAGACCAGCCGGAACGTTCTGGAACCCACCCTGAGCTGCTTCGACGAGGCCCAGGGGAAGATCTTCAACCTGATGCAGAAGGATTCCTACCGCCGCTTCCTCAAGTCCCGCTTCTACCTGGATTTCACGGGGCCCTCGGCCTGCGGCGCGGAGAAGCACCCAAAAGGCGGGCGAGGCGCCCCCGTCCCCCTGTGCGCCTGAGCCCCCCGGAGCCCCCCGCCGCAGCCCCCTCCCGTCGCCCACCCTCGTGGCCATCGGACTCGGCACAGTGACCCCAGCAGCACGGACCCCTCGGCAGCCGCGCTTAGATGAGGACCCTGAGCCAGGCGGAGACGGTCACGCCCCGTCTACGCCCGCCGGACCCCAGGGGCCTCGTCCACGCATCCCGCTGGGGCCCGGAGGAGGAGGAGCGGGCAGGGCGGGGAGAGGCCCAGGCGTCTGTCCAGCTGCCAGCCTGACCCTGGGCGCGAGCGGGCAGCTGCTCCCGGCTCCTTCCTCTCCCCTCCTGCCCTTCCCGCTTCCAGCACCCCAGCACGCGCAGATGGGCTGCTCAGGGGGGCTGGAGACTCTGGAGCACTGTGGTGTGTGGGGAAGGGGCGGTTCCTTCTGAGGCCTCCGTGAGGGGAAACTGTGTCAAGGAGGAGCCCTCGCTGCTCAGGCCCCTTCGGAGCTTCTCCCAGCACGTGCGACATGCGAACATTTCTCCTTTCTCTTACTTATGCTGTTTTCATATGGTGCGGTGTTTTTTTTTTTATGATTGTGTTGTTTTATACACCGAGGGGTGGGGTGTCCCCAGAATCACTCGTGAATGGCCTGGGAGCCTCGTTCTGGGACGCCCACTGCGTTAGGAGTGCACGCACACGCAGGCAAGCGTGCACGCACGCAGGGACATGCATGCACAGGCGAACACGGACGGGCGCACACAGACATGTGTGTACACATATGTGGACAGGCACACGCAGACACGCGTGCACGAACAGACATATGCACATGCATGCACGTGTGCAGGCAGGCATGTATGCAGAAGACGCAGACCCACGCATGTGCGCAGACACGCATGCATGCTGAATGGACAGACCCATGCGCACACGTGTGTGTGCGCAGACACACATGTACATCCACGCACACACAGGCTCCACCTTCCCCAGGCGGTTCCATGCTTGGCTGCCTCTGACCCTCCTGCCGACAGCATGTGTGAGTCTCGGACTTGCCACCACCCCCTGCTCTGCTGTGCACCCCCTTCCCCCGGTACGAGGGTCCAACAGTGTGTGCAGACGTGGCCTCTGGCCTTGGGCCGGTGTTTGAATCGTGATCAGAGGAGTAAATGGTTTTCTGGAATGTGCGTCTGCTGTGTGTCTCTCCAGGGGCCCCCAACCTGCCCCAGGGGAACCACGGGCTCCACAAGCGGGCTGGGCTGCGGCTCCCCTTCCCCATGCCTTGCAGTACCCACCCCGGCTCCCCTCCCTGTGCTGTGCAGTACCCACCCCGGCTCCCCCTCCCCATGCCATGCAGTGCCCACCCTGACTCCCCTTCCCCATGCCATGCAGTGCCCACCCCAGCTTCCCCATCCCCATGCCATGCAGTATCCATCTGGGCTCCCCCACCCCATGCCGTGCAGTGCCCAACCTGGCTTCCCCTCCCCGTGCCTCTGCAGTGCCCATCCCAGCTCCCCCTCCCCATGCTGTGCAGTATCCACCTGGGCTCCCCCTCCCCATGCTGTGCAGTATCCACCTGGGCTCCCCCTCCCCATGCTGTGCAGTGCCCACCCCAGCTTCCCCTCCGTGCCTGTGCAGTGCCCACCCCGGCTTCCCCATCCCCATGCCATGCAGTGCCCACCCCGGCTCCCCCTCTCCGTCTCTGCAGTGCCTGCCCACCCCGGGCTCCAGGGACAAGGATGCCCGAGAGAAACTCTTGCTTCTGCCTTGGGGGGCTAATAAACGCTTTGCCCCCACCTGCTGCTGGGAGCTGTCACTGATTTACAGGCCGGGCCTGAGGGGGACGGCAGAGGGACGGGCCAGGACCGACCCCCACCCAACGCGCCGCAGGCCCTCCCACCCTTTGCCGACTAGGGGCCCTGGAAAAGGCGCCAAGGATACCGCTGTCCCCTGAATGTCTGTCTTTCATGCCGCCCTCCGACGTGGCCAGCCCTGGCCTGATCCCCAGCAGCCTGGGGTCCCCTGAGCACTGGTGTGGCCCCAAACCAAAATGTCCAGCCGGTCAACTGCCTTGGGTGGACCGGGGGTGGGGCCGGCGCTGCTTTGGGGCGGCCTCATGACCGAGCCCCGGGAAGGCTTGGCCGTGGCCAGATGGCCGTGGCCGCTGTGTGGCCCTGGTCACGTTGCTCCCTGGAGGGGCAATGGCCTCGGGCGCAGGTCACAGGGCACGGCTCTGGGGGGCCAGGGGGCAGCGGGGGGGGCCATGGGAACGGGGCCGGGGGCCTCGGGGCGGCTGGACAGAAGCGAGTCCATCTCCCAGAGGGCCGGACATGCGCCATTCCCAGGCCAGGGGCTCCTGGGGACACGCCACAGACAACGCTGGGCCTGCCCCGTCCTGTGTCCTCCGGAGAAGGCGGAAGGAGACGCCACGGGGGAGAGGCCGGTGGGAGGCCGGGGAGGCTGCGCTGCTGAGCCCCGGGGCGAGATGCGGGGGGCGGGTACGGGTGGGCAGGGAGGAACCGCCTGGAGAAGTCTGTGCCGCTAGGTCCTGCCCAGAGGGACCGCCCCAAGGGAAATGGGGCCAGGTACAGCTGGTGGTCAGTGCCAGGCGGTCAGCGTCAGGCAGTCAGTGCCAGGCGGTCAGCGTCAGGCAGTCAGTGCCAGGCGGTCAGCGTCAGGCAGTCAGTGCCAGGCGGTCAGCGTCAGGCAGTCAGTGCCAGGCGGTCAGCGTCAGGCAGTCAGTGCCAGGCGGTCAGCGTCAGGCAGTCAGTGCCAGGCGGTCAGCGTCAGGCAGTCAGTGCCAGGCGGTCAGCGTCAGGCAGTCAGTGCCAGGCGGTCAGCGTCAGGCAGTCAGTGCCAGGCGGACAGCGTCAGGCGGTCAGCGTCAGGCAGTACCAGGTGGTCAGCATCAGGCGGTCAGTGCCAGGCAGTCAGCATCAGGCGGTCAGCGTCAGGCAGTCAGTGCCAGGCGGTCAGCGTCAGGCAGTCAGTGCCAGGCGGACAGCGTCAGGCGGTCAGCGTCAGGCAGTACCAGGTGGTCAGCATCAGGCGGTCAGTGCCAGGCAGTCAGCATCAGGCGGTCAGCGTCAGGCAGTCAGTGCCAGGCGGTCAGCGTCAGGCGGTCACTGTCAGGTGGTCAGTGCCAGGCGGTCAGCGTCAGGCAGTCAGTGCCAGGCGGACAGCGTCAGGCGGTCAGCGTCAGGCAGTACCAGGTGGTCAGCATCAGGCGGTCAGTGCCAGGCAGTCAGCATCAGGCGGTCAGCGTCAGGTAGTCAGTGCCAGGTGGTCAGTGCCAGGCGGTCACTGTCAGGTGGTCAGTGCCAGGTGGTCAGCGTCAGGCAGTCAGCATCAGGTGGTCAGTGTCAGGCGAACAGTGTCAGGTGGTCAGCATCAGATGGTCAGTGCCAGGCGATCAGCGCCAGGTGGTCAGCATCAGGCAGTCAGTGTTAGGTGGACAGCATCAGGTGGTCAGTGTCAGGCAGTCAGTGCCAGGTGGACAGTGTCAGGCGGTCAGCGTCAGGCGGTTAGTGTCAGGCGGTCAGTGTCAGATGGTCAGTGCCAGGCGATCAGTGTCAGGCGGTCAGTGTCAGATGGTCAGTGCCAGGCGGTCAAGCGTCAGGCGGTCAGTGTCAGGCGGTTAGTGCCAGGTGGACAGCATCAGGCGGTCAGTATCAGGCGATCAGCGTCAGCAGTCAGCATCAGGCAGTCAGTGCCAGGCGGTCAGCGCCAGGCGGTCAGCGCCAGGCGGTCGGTATCAGGCGGCCAGTGTCCAACCAGCTTCCACTGGACTGAGCGGCCTGAGAGACCACATAGCCACAAAGACTCCACAAAGGGAAGAGAAACACGGGCGGGAGCCCCTCAGCGACTCCGTTCAGGGGACAGCTGGGGAGAGGCGGGGCTGTTCCTCCAGCACTGACCCCAAGGAGCCACGGGGAGACGCTGTATCACGGGCAGTCGCTGTCCGTGGCCCCTGCAGGCAGACACTCGGAGCACAAACAGGCTGTCCAGGGGGAGGCCCCTGCGCCCAGCCCGCGCCTGCCTCTGTCGGGGCCGGCATTTCCAAGGCCCCTGCCTCGCTCCCGTCCACGCGTGCCTTCCTTTGTGGCCGCTGTGTGGCCCGGCCACGGCACCCAGGCTCCGGCCGTGGCATCCAGTGGGCTTCCGGGGACCCGCCCGTCTCGGTTCCACCCTGCAGAGCCGCACATGACTGGGAAGACGTGTGCGGACCCCGGGCTGGACAGTCGCCCGAGAGGGACCCGGGTGCTTGCTGCAGGGGTCTAGTTGCCCGGGGTCGGGTGGTGGTGCAGGGACCCCCACACTCTGCCCTGTGCTCACCCTGGAGCAAACCGGGAGCGCCGGAGGGACCCCCCTCCCACCCGCCACCATCAGCTCTGTGTGTCTGTGTGTCCCAGACCATCCGTCCCTACAGAGATTCGGACTCCCGCCAACCCCCTCCCCCAGCATCCAGGGTCCCCCGGGAGATGCCGGAACCCCTGACAGGCGCACACGGATGACCGAAGTGGGGGACGGAGAGGGGCCCTCGGCATGGTCGGCTGTAAGGATGCGGGTTCCGTGGACGCCAGCCCGATGTCCCCAATCAGGCAAGGAGGCGAGTCCCACACAAGAAGGACACAAGGGTCAGTGAGAGACTCGTTTAATGGACTCGACGCGTGACTGGGGGTACCTGCGGGAGATGGGGGGAGGGGAGGTCACAGCAGGGCTGGGCTGCATCGCTGAAGGATGGGGGTAGGGGCAGGGTCCCAGCCGCAGCCCTTCCAAGTCTCCTGGAGGGTGGCACCGTGCAGGGGGCAGAAGGGGGCATCGGGGTCCCTCCCGAGACTGTCCCCAGGTACAACGTTCCTTGCTTTGGCCACGTCCATCACCAGCGGGTGGGCGAGTGCTGCCCTTGCCTGTCACCTGTCCCCTGGGCAAGGGCATGGACGGACCCCCAGGAGGTGCCCGAGAGACCCTCTCCCCGTCGGAGCCGGGCCCGGTTCTCCCCTGGGACCCCTCTGGGCTCTGTGCCTGCCCGCCCACGGGGGGTCACTCCCGTCTGTTGGCGCTTCCGGTGTGGCCCCTCCTGGGGGCTCTGCTCTGGTCCAGCCGGTCTGACCCTCACTGCCCAGTCCTGGGTGGCCCCTGCCCTCGGCTCACACCCCCACCTCCCTCCAGACGTCTCTTGTGTAGTTGTGCCCAGCCTGGGAGAACTCCGTGTGCCCTGGAAAGTTCTATCTCCCCCCGGGGCAGATTTCCAGAAGGTTCTACCAGGGGGCAAGCTTCTGGAATGTTCTACCCTTGAACTCACTCCCGTGCCCGCCCTCTCTCCTCCTCTCCTCTGTCCTCCCTGCCACCTCCTGCCATTTGGATGCCAAACGCGCCCAAGAAGCCGGGTGGAGACCCAGGGGAGGGACCGTGCCCGACCCAAGCCGGGGGTCCCGGGACGGCCTTCTCAGGGCTGGTCCCGCTCACGGGGGACCCTCGCTCTGCCCACCCGTGGCCCAGTGGGCGCTTGGACACGCCTCCCTTCCTCGGGGCACGGGGCAGCTCTGCCTGTGAGGGGGCAGGGAGGGTCCCCAGCCCGGGCTTGGCACAGAACAGACACAAAAGCGTCCGTGAGGCTTCAAAGTGGAGGCCCACTTAGTGCACAGCGGCCCGAGGGGGCGACGGGCAGGGACCGGGCAGGGGTGGGGTGGGGTGGGGTGGGGGGTCCCGCATTTCACGGAACTGGAATGAGAGTTAGCTCAGCGCCACTGAGGGCGTCTCTCTGGGAGAGAGGGAAGGGGTGTGAGTGTGTGTGAGTGTGTGTGTCTGTGTATATGTGTGTAGGAGAGTGTGTGTGTGAGTGTCTGAGTGTGTGCGAATGTCTCTGTGAGTAGATGTGTCTGTGTGCGTGAGTGTGAGATTCTGATTGTGTGTGAGATTTTGTGTGTGAATGTGTGTGTGGGTGTGTGTCTGTGTGAGTGTGTCCGTGAGTGTGGGTAAGTGTGTGAGATTTGTGTGTGTGTTTGTGTGTGAGAGTGTGTGTGTGTTTGTGAGTGACAGTGTGTGTCTGTGTGTGAGTGTCTGTGAGTGTGCGTGCGTGTGTGAGATATTGTGTGTGTCTGTGTGAGAGTTGTGTGTGTGTGTTTGTGTGTGACAGTGTGTGCTTGTGTGTGAGAGTGTGTGTCCGTGTGAGTGTGTCTAAGTGTGTGAGATATCGTGTGTTTGCGTGAGAGTTGTGTGTGTGAGTGTGTGTTTGTGTGAGAGAGTGTGTGTGTTTGTGTGTGTGGGTGTGCCTGCGCGCGTGTGGCGGGGGTGTCGTGAGACACGGACGCCCACACAGCACTGCCCCCAGCTCCCCCTCGCGTGGACCCTGGTCTTCTCCTCAGGTCTAGTTTAAGCTCCAAGCACCCCGAACTTTCACCCCGAGCACCCTCAGCCCATCAGAACGCCTGCGGCTGTGAGCCCACCTGGCCTGGCCTGTGTGCGCCCCCCGACCCCCCGACACAGCCAGCCTGACCCCCCTCCCCGACACACACACATCGGCTGCCCAGCTCCCGACATGCCGACCTCTCCAGAGAATGCAGAACCCAGTGCTCGCCCGACAGTGCTCCACGGGGTGCGTGGGAGCAGGCGCCTGGGGAAAGACGCCCAGAGGAAAGGTGCTTCCTCCGTTCCTGCGGAGACACGTCATACCATACTTTCGGTGGCCGCTGTTTCCTGTTCCTTTTCCCCTGTAACCTTTTTAAAACCCCTTTGGAACTCTTGCAAGGAATTTCCCTGGGGACCCTCTGCCAAGCTTGTACGCCCTGTGTCACTGTCCTGTGCCAGCTCCCCGCCACTGGAGACCCCCGTCACTTGAGTTGCTCCGCCCGCAAAGGGTGGGCTTGAACCGGTGCTTCCAGGGCGGGTCCCCCTTCCCTCCTGGGGGCTTCCAGCATCCTCTGGCTGGGGTCTCGCTGATGATGGTGGCAGCGGGTGCCCGATTGAGGGCAGCGGGGCCGTCCCCGGTCGCGGCCCGTCCAGCTGATCCCCTTCCTGGGGTGGGAGGTTCGTGCCCTGGGAGGGCTGGGGACCCCCGGGAGGACACTGCAGGGGAAGGAGACTCGGCCAGCCCGGCCAGCGCCACAGGGACAGCCAGGGATTCACTCGCCCTCGAACAGGCTCTGAACTGGCGGGCACTGAAGCCTGCAGACCACGACTCCCCCTGTTCTTAGAGCAAAGCATGGTTTACATCGACTAAATATGAAATACATTTCCTAGCCAGACTTGTAACGCAGAACAGAATTGCAGCTCAGACCGACTAAATAAAAGAAAAATTTCCTAGCCAGGCTTATAATAACGCAGAACAGAATTGCAGCTCAAATCTACTAAATAAAAGAAAAATTTCCTAGCCAGACTTATAATAACATAGGCAGAATTGCAGCTTAAGCTAACTAAATAAAAGAAAAATTTCCTAGCCAGACTTATAATAACACGGAACAGAACTGCAGCTCAAATCCACTAAATAAAAGAAAAATTTCCTAGACAGACTTAAAATAATGCAGGACAGAATTGCAGCTCAGACCGACTAAGTAAAAGAAAAATTTCCTAGCCAGACTTATAATAATGCAGGCAGAATTGCAGCTTAAACTGACTAAATAAAAGAAGAATATCCTAGCCAGAATTGCAGCTTAAACCGACTAAATAAAAGAAAAATTTCCTAGCCAGATTTATAACAACACAGGATAGAATTGCAGCTCAGACCGACTAAATAAAAGAAAAATTTCCTAGCCAGACTTATAATAATGCAGGTAGAATTGCAGCTCAGACCGACTAAATAAAAGAAAAATATCCTAGCCAGACTTATAATAATGCAGGCAGAATTGCAGCTCAAGACTAAATAAAAAAAAATTCCCTAGCCAGATTTAAAATAATGCAGGACAGAATTGCAGCTCAGACCGACTAAATAAAAGAAAAATTTCCTAGCCAGACTTAAAATAATGCAGGACAGAATTGCAGCTCAGACCGACTAAATAAAAGAAAAATTTCCTAGCCAGACTTATAATAATGCAGGTAGAATTGCAGCTCAGACCGACTAAATAAAAGAAAAATATCCTAGCCAGACTTATAATAATGCAGGCAGAATTGCAGCTCAAGACTAAATAAAAAAAAATTCCCTAGCCAGATTTAAAATAATGCAGGACAGAATTGCAGCTCAGACCGACTAAATAAAAGAAAAATTTCCTAGCCAGACTTAAAATAATGCAGGACAGAATTGCAGCTCAGACCGACTAAATAAAAGAAAAATTTCCTAGCCAGATTTATAACAACGCAGGACAGAATTGCAGCTCAGACTGACTAAAATAAAAGAAAATTTTCCTAGCCAGACTTACAATAACTAACAGGGCAGAATCAAAGCTAAAATCCACTAACTAGTACCACGGCCGATTCGGAAGCTGTGGGAACCTGGGTTTGGGGGGGGGGGTGGGATGTGATTTTGCAGGAACCCCGCCCACAGCGAGTGCGTTTTCCTGGCGCTAAAGGCAGATCTGAAGCCCAACACCACCGGTTTTAAATGAGCCATCAGCATCTGAGAGACCAACTGGGCTTGGCCGCCTCCCATGCAGTGACGTCAGCCTGGGACGCCCCCATGACCAACGGCTCGGAACTTTCCAGAACCAGAGCTGATGATTTTTGACACTGACACGAAACTTAACGTGACAACGGACAGTCAGGGTTGGGTAAGGGGGATGGACTAGAGTCACAAACCCTTCAAGGAGGTGGCGGGGATGGGGGGAACCAGCCCAGGGCGGTGGGTTCCTACAGCCTCTGAAATCGGAATTTGGTTCAAGGGACAGAATTGATGACACACTGGAGTTTGGATTGATCAAGTGAGACTCAATGGATTCACCACGGGGGTCTCTGGCTGATCAGCCCCTTGATGAACACAGTGAGCGTCCTGGATTGTTGTTTTTTTTTTTTTCTTGTTTTTTTTGGATCACACCCGGCGATGCACAGGGCTGACTCCTGGCTCTGCACTCAGGAATTGCTCCTGGCAGGGTTCAGGGGACCCTATGGGATGCTGGGAATCGAACCCAGTTCAGCCGCGTGCCAGGCCGACGCCCTCCCCGCTGTGCTATCGCTCCAGCCCCTGGACTGGTTTTTTCAGGGTCACCTCTGCTTAGTGGGAAACAGTGAACGCTGAGATAGACCTCCCGCCTCTGATGCATGAGTCGGCACCGAGACCCGTCGAATCAATTCACCCGCCACGCCTGTTCCCCAGGAGACCTGTCCCACGACAACGAGGAGACTTTGGATGGACAATCAGGAGCGTTCCGGGGCTTGGACCGGCTCCGATGGGCAGAATTTTCCTGATTCTGATGAGAAACCCAGGACGAGGTGGAGGGAAGGAAGGAGGAGGATACCGGAGCATGGACGTGGCCGGGTGGAGAGAGAAGGAGAGAGCGATGCTACCGGGTGCTCCCTGGAGGTGCTCCCCGTTGATTGGGGGTGTAGGGGGGAACGACGCGTGGGTTGGGGGAGGCCAGGCGAGCTGGGCGATGCAGGGGACGGCTTGGACCGGCCCTGCGGTTACTTCAGCAGCTCCTGGTAGAACTCGGAGCGTACGAACCGAGGCAGCGAATCCTTCTCCATGAGGGCGCGGACGCGCTTCTGGGCCACGTCGAAGCTGTTCAGGGAAGGGGCCGCCAGGTTCTGCAGGGTCAGGCCCTTGGTGAAGTGGTCGATATTGACCTGGGCATCGGGAGATGGGTGGGATCAGCCCCGGGCGCTGGGAGATGGGTCAAGTCAGCCCCGGGCGCCAGGGGACAGAGGAGGGATTTCTGGCCACGAAAGCGAGAGATTCGTGCAGCCCACGGAATGTGGGTCTTTCCCTGGAAGAGATCAGGCCATGGAGGCCAGGGCAGAGGACAGAAGCGGATCTGGGCAAGGACCCTCCTGGGTGGACTCAAGTGTGTGCAGCCAGGAAGCAGAGTGGACGGACTAGACGCAGAGTGGACAGGCTAGACACAGAGTGGACGGGTTAGACGCAGAGTGGACGGGCTAGACGCAGAGTGGACGGAATAGACAGAGTGGACGGACCAGATGCAGAGTGGACGGGCTAGACACAGAGTGGACGTAGTAGACGCAGAGTGGACAGGCTAGACGCAGAGTGGACGGAATAGGCGCAGAGTGGACGGACTAGACGCAGAGTGGACAGGCTAGACACAGAGTGGACGGGCTAGACACAGAGTGGACGGGCTAGACACAGAGTGGACGGGCTAGACGCAGAGTGGACGGGCTAGACGCAGAGTGGACGGGCTAGACGCAGAGTGGACGGGCTAGATGCAGAGTGGACGGGCTAGACGCAGAGTGGACGGAATAGACAGAGTGGACGGACCAGATGCAGAGTGGACGGGCTAGACACAGAGTGGACGTAGTAGACGCAGAGTGGACAGGCTAGACGCAGAGTGGACGGAATAGGCGCAGAGTGGACGGACTAGACGCAGAGTGGACAGGCTAGACACAGAGTGGACGGGCTAGACACAGAGTGGACGGGCTAGACGCAGAGTGGACGGGCTAGACGCAGAGTGGACGGGCTAGACGCAGAGTGGACGGGCTAGACGCAGAGTGGACGGGCTAGATGCAGAGTGGACGGGCTAGACGCAGAGTGGACGGAATAGACAGAGTGGACGGACCAGATGCAGAGTGGACGGGCTAGACACAGAGTGGACGTAGTAGACGCAGAGTGGACAGGCTAGACGCAGAGTGGACGGAATAGGCGCAGAGTGGACGGACTAGACACAGAGTGGACAGGCTAGACACAGAGTGGACGGGCTAGACACAGAGTGGACGGGCTAGACGCAGAGTGGACGGGCTAGACGCAGAGTGGACGGGCTAGATGCAGAGTGGACGGGCTAGACGCAGAGTGGACGGAATAGGCGCAGAGTGGACGGACTAGACGCAGAGTGGACAGGCTAGACACAGAGTGGACGGGCTAGACGCAGAGTGGACGGGCTAGATGCAGAGTGGACGGGCTAGACGCAGAGTGGACGGGCTAGACGCAGAGTGGACGGGCTAGACACAGAGCGGACAGGCTAGACGCAGAGTGGACGGAATAGGCGCAGAGTGGACGGACTAGACGCAGAGTGGACGGACTAGACACAGAATGGATGGAATAGACACAGAGTGGACGGGCTAGACGCAGAGTGGACGGGCTAGACTCAGAGTTGACGCACTAGACACAGAGTGGACACATTAGAGGCAGAATGGACGAGCTAGACGCAGAGTGGACGGGCCCACTGCCTGGGCCTCTGGTCCCCACCCGGCCCCCTCCAGCCGCGGGACCTACCTCCTGGGGTGCCTCGGCCCGGATGAAGTCCTCGTAGATGCGCTGGGCCTTCTGCGCCAGCCTGCCCGGGGCCCGGGTCCTCTTGTAGTCCTCACACGCCAGCCAGAACTCCAGGTTCTCCTCGCTGAACTCCGACTTCAGGAAGCTGCGGAAGCTTTCCAGCCCGTCTGGGGGGAGGGCGGGATGGAGCGGGTGGGGGCGCGGCCCTGGGGGGCCCAGCATCATACACACACACACACACACACACACACACACACACACACACACACACAGGAGCCCAGGCCTGAGGCATCAAAGGCCGAGCCTGGGGGTCGATCAGACGTGGACCCGCGGGTCTCTGTGACTCCCGCCCCATCCTGGGGGCTTGGCTGCGTGCATGCCTGCATGTGTGCATGTGTGGGGGGTGGGGTGGGGGGGAGGGCGATGGTTGTGGTTCTGCCCTGGGCGTCCACGGCCCCTCCCCGATCTCCCAAGCTGTGTGGTCGGAGAGTTGGGGCAGGTGCTGGGAGGAGCAGCTAATCGGCCCGTCCGTGCCTCTGCGCTGACAGCCAGCCACACCTGGCAGTGCTCAGAGCTGACTCATGGCTCAGTGCTCAGGGCTGACTCCCAACTCTGTGCTCGGGGCTGACTCCCAACTCCGTGCTCGGGGATGACTCCTGGCTCTGTGCTCAGGACTGACTCCTGGCTCTGTGCTTGGGGCTGACTCCCGGCTCTGTGCTCGGGGCTCACTCCTGTGCTCAGGTGGCCAGGGGACAGAACCCAGACCCTCCGCCCCACCCTCATGTGAAGCCTGCCCTCGGGCGGGGTCAGGTCACGGACACTCACAGCTGTTTTGCAGGATCTTATCCAGAGAGTCGCGCCACTGCAGAACCTCCTCTGGTGACGGCCTGCGTTGGGGGCACGAAGGGGCAGAGGTGCGTGAGACGGGGCTGACGGCCCCCTGCGCCACCCCACCTCTCTGGCCGTGCCCCCAGGACAGGGGTGCAGATGAGAGGGGAGGGTCTGCTCCCCACGGCCTGCCCCGGGGGAGGGAGTTTGGTGTCAGGAGGACTGGGTCCCGGCTGTCACCCCTGGCCCCTGGGTGGGTGGGCAGCGAGTGGCCATGAGCTCTGGAATGTTCCCTGGGCTGGCTGCCTTGAGGACGCATCTGGAGGAGAGATGCCCCCTCATTGGACCGGGGCTTCCTTATGGGGTCACTGGGGAGGAAACGGTCAGCTGAGCTTCCTGATGGTCACCGGGTCAGCTGACCGACTGACCATGATCTATGCGGGGCCGGGGGCCAGGCAGAGAGAGAGGAGGCCTGTGGCCATCTCTGGGCTGTATCCCTTGGACCGGGGAAGGAGCCAGTGGGGCTCAGCCCGGCCCTGTGCCGGGGGGCCACGAGAACCCAGGGCCGAGAGGGGCCACGTCCTCGACTCACTTCTGGGCCTTGGCGGGTTTCTCCGGCTTGTCGTTGTAGGGGATGACCAGGTCAGGGGCCGCATCGGGCTTCTGCAGGAGTGTCCCCAACTTGATCTTGATCTCCTTGGCCCTGTGGGTGGACACGGTGGGGGACCGGGCGCGTGAGCTGCTTGGGCAGTCACAGCGCGGGGATGGGGCCCCCAGAGCCCTTGGGGATGGACAGGCCGGAGGGACGGGGTACCCAGGAGGGTCCAGGTCGTCCTGCCCACCACTGATCCCCAGCAGAACTTGCCCCCCAGAAGGATTGCCTGGAGGACTCGCCCCGCCCACTTTCACTAGCCCCACCCACGCCTACTAGCCACGCCCACTTACCAGCTCGCCCCGCCCCTTTCTACTAGCCCCACCCACTCGCCAAATCACCACGCCCACTCCCCACTAGCCACGCCCACTTTTACTTTCCAGCCCCCTTTCAACTCGCCCTGCCCACTTTCACTAGCCCCACCCACCCCTACTAGCCACGCCTACTTACCAGCTTGCGCCCCCCCTACTAGCCCCACCCACTCGCCAAATCACCACGCCCACTCCCCACTTGCCACGCCCACTTTTACTTTTCCAGCCCTTTCAACTCGCCCCGCCCACTTCACTAGCCCCACCCACCCTACTAGCCACGCCCACTTACCAGCTCGCCCCGCCCCTCTCTACTAGCCCCACCCACTCGCCAAATCACCACGCCCACTCCCCACTCGCCATGCCCACTTTTACTTTTCCAGCCCCCTTTCAACTCGCCCCGCCCACTTTTACTAGCCCCACCCACCCTACTAGCCACGCCCACTTACCAGCTCGCCCCGCCTCTCTCTACTAGCCCCACCCACTCGCCAAATCGCCACGCCCACTCCCCACTCGCCACGCCCACTTTTCCAGCCCACTTTCAACTCGCCCTGCCCACTTTCTACTTGCTCCGCCCCCTCCTGCTCGCCCCGCCCACCTTCTCACTCGCCCCGCCCCCGTTTCCCCAGGGACCACTGTCAGCGCTTGCCCGCCTGCAGGTGGACAGTGCAGCCAGCCTCGGGCTCTGCCCCTTGAGCCGCGCCCTGACCTGCCGAATGGTCACTCACTGCCCAGCTCGGGCCCCTGTGCGCCGTGGCCAGCAAACCCGTCACCGTCCTGGCCGGGGTGGGGGGGTCCCCTGACCTGGCCCCCTAGAAGCCCTGGCACCTCGCCCTGTGCCAGCGTGCCCGGGACTCGGCTTGGGCCCGGCTCCGGACGCCCAAACCACGCTGGACCCAGAGGTGGCCGCTGGACTGTGCTGCAGGCAATGGCTGGTCCTGAGCTCTGGGAGGGAGGACCCCAGTGTCAGCACCCAGCACCCAGCACCTAGCACTCAGCACCCAGGGTGCCCTGACGCTCAGCCACCCCGTTGCCTCTCCAGAACATCTGCTGCCCGTGTGCATCCTCGGCCCAGCTAGTGTCCACCTGATGTCCATCCTCCCCCACGTCTTAACAGAGCCGGGCCGGGGGTTCACGCTGTGGCCAGGTGAGGCTCTGTGGCCCTCATGGCCCCTCCACCAGCCCCGTGGGAACAGTGATGGTGAGCCCCATTAAACAGGCACCCACGACATGACCTCAGGGTGGGCTGTGGGTACTGGGACCCTTGAGCCTAAGTGCTCCTGAAATGGGCTTAGAACCGGTCACTTTCACTCGAGCTTGAGGCAGACGTTTGTGGGGAGGGAAACTCAGCCTTCTGTGTTTCTGGGGGGAAGGAGGCCACACCCAGTGATGCTCAGGGCTGACTCCTCGCTCTGCACTCAGGAATCACTCCTGGCAGTGCTCGGGGGACCCTATGGGGTGCTGGGACTCGAACCCGTGTCGGCGCGTGCCAGGCCGACGCCCTCCCCGCTGTGCTCATCCTCATTTAGGGTCTGGGGGTGGGTGGCCTTGCCTCCAAGTCCCCTGAGGAAGCTTCCCAGCTGGTTCTAGCCACGGCTTCATCCCCCCAACCCCAGCCCCCTGGACCGGGCGGGCCCCACCGCCAGATTTAGTGAGACACTCCCCGGAGAAAAGTATCCCACACACGTTACTAAGAATTACCACACGCGCCCAACCCGTGTGCTACCCACGTCCAGAGTCAGGGTACACTCGCTTAGCTTCACTGGAGTTGGGGGATCCTTACAGGGTGTGTGTGTGTGTGTGTGTGTGTGTGTGTGTGTGTGTTGGCAATAGCCGTGACTGCCCCCTGCTGGCCAGCATGCAGCCCTGCAGCTGGGAACACCGAGTCCCAGCTGGCAAGTTCTTCTCCGAGCACAGATGCTGGATCCCTGGGTCTGCGTCACTCTCCCTGGATTGCTTCTCTCAACATTTCTGGGTTTTTTTTTTCTCCCTTTCTCGGCCAGGGCAGGGTGAGACGCGTGTCTGTGGGCCTGGCTGGGGGTGGGGGGGTGGGGGTGGGTTTGCAGGCTCCGGGAAAAATATTCCACCCTTTGGCTCCTTTTACGGGATCTAGTGTCAGGGCAGCAGCGGGCTGGGCGTAGGCGTCCGCCCTCCAATGCCCTGCAACGCTCAGAGAAGCAGGCGCAGAACGGAAAACTGGAAAGCAAACAGGCAGGCTGCCCTGTAAAAATAAAACGGGAAAGTATCTGACCTTCGCAGACGTCACACGCAGCCCGGTGGGGGAGCTGGGGTGGGTGGGGGGAGACTTCTAACCCTATTTGGGGTTCCAGGGGTTGGAGCGATAGCACGGAGGGGAGGGGGCTTGCCTGGCATGCGGTCGACCCGGGTTCGATCCCTGGCATCCCATAGGGTCCTCCTGAGCACTGCCAGGAGTGATTCCTGAGTGCAGAGCCAGGAGGAACCCCTGAGCATCGCCGGGTGTGACCCCAAAAGCCAAAAAGAAAAAAGAAAAAAATCCACAAAGCAAAAAAAGAAAGAAAAGAAAAAAGTATGGTCAGGGTTCGATCCCCGGCATCCCATAGGGTCCCCCGAGCACCGCCAGGAGTGATTCCTGAGTGCAGAGCCAGGAGTCAGCCCTGAGCATCGCCAGGTGGGACCCAAAAAAGCTCAAAGAATCCAAAACAAACAACCCTATTTGGGGTTCCAACTGGGTAGCTCAGGGGAATGTGTGAGGGGTTGGGGGGGGGCGCGTCTCTCCTGGGGAAGGAGCGTGGGTGGGGGAGATCGCAGGAAGTGGGTTTGCCCCTCTCGGCCCCTGCCCACGCCACCGTCCTTTGGGCCCAGAGACCAACTTGGTCTGAGCAAGAACCTGTTGGCGGTGGGGTGGGGGGGTGGGTGGTCCCATCTGCCACCAACCTGCAATTGTGTGCGGGGATTATGAGGCAGAAGCCCGGGGGCTACTGACTGCCCAGTGGCCAGACCCCCAGGTGCCAGCTGGACTCCAGACACAGGTGGCAGAGGGACGTGGAACTAAGAGATCTAGGACAGACAGACAGACAGACAGACTCTGAGCCAGGAAAGACCCCTGGGGTTGGGGCCGGGGGGCGCAGACGCCCCCTGCTGGCCGAAGGAGCAAGCGCCCCTGCTGAGAGCCGGTTTGGGGCTGGCCAGTCCCATTCTGGACCTGAGGATGCTGAGACCAGCGTGGACGGCGGCTGACCCTGGCAGGTGCTGGCCCCTCTGTCCACGCCGGAGACCGGGGCCAGCCAGGCCTGGGGGGTGACGGCAAAAGTGAGGTTCCAGGCATCTCTGTGGGCAAGGGGCCGTGGGCCGGGGTCCCCCTCGGAGCAGGGATGTTGGTTTGAAACCGATGGGGGTCCCTGGCTGGGTGGAAACTCAGCGCCAATGTGGAACGGGAGGTGGTCCCACACGGCTGGTTCCCGCGCTGTTCCCTGACGGCCCCTCTGAGTCCAGGGGGACCCTCACTCGGGCCACGTGTGTCCAGGGGCTAGGGAGTGCCACAGACGCTTGGCCATGGGGCCTTCCGAGCAGGGCGGGCCGGGAGAGCTCGGGGAGCCTCTGCCGGGAGGCCTGAGCCGCGTCACGTTCCCAGTCAGGAGACGAGATGCAGGCGACAGACGCCCTGCAGACGCCCCCCGAGACGCTTTCCAGAGCTGAGCCGTCACCACGGCCGCGCCTGCCCTGCCCGGTGAGAAGGCCCCAGCGCTTGTGTGTACGTGTGTGTGTGCAGACATGCATGTGTGTGTGTGTGTGTGCATGTGTGTGCGTGTGTATATGCACGTGTGTGTGTGTGTGTGTGTGTGTGTGCGCACGTGCTTAAGTAGCCCAACCCTGCTCCATGTGGTCGAGCTGGAGGAAAACGGGGATTCACGGCAAAAGGCTGAGCATGAAGCCCATCACCAGAAAACCTGGTGAACTGGAACTGTCACTTTGGTCCCATGTGTAGGCTCTGAGTACAGTGCTCAGGACACACTGGTCTCCCATGGCCCGTGTGATTCCTTCCTTTCTCCTTCCCTCCTTCCTTCTTTCCTTTCTTCTTTCCTTCCTTCCTCCCTCCCTCCTTCCTTCTTCCTTCCCTCCCTCCCTCCTTCATCCTTCCTTCCTTCCTTTCCTTCCTTCCTTCCTTCTCCTTCCTTCCTTCCTTCCTTCTTCCTTCCTTCCTTCCTTCCTTCCTTCCTTCCATCCTTCCATCCTTCCATCCTTCCTTCCTTCTTCCTTCCTTCCTTCCTTCCTCCTTCCTTCCTTCCATCCATCCTTCCATCCTTCCTTCCTTCCTTCCATCCTTCCTTCTTCCTTCCTTCCTTCCTTCCTTCCTTCTTCCTTCCTTCCATCCTTCCATCCTTCCTTCCTTCCTTCCATCCTTCCTTCCTTCCTTCCTTCTTCCTTCCTTCCTTCCTTCCTTCCTTCCTTCCTTCCTTCCATCCTTCCTTCTTCCTTCCTTCCTTCCTTCCTTCTTCCTTCCTTCCATCCTTCCATCCTTCCTTCCTTCCTTCCATCCTTCCTTCCTTCCTTCCTTCTTCCTTCCTTCCTTCCTTCCTTCCTTCCTTCCATCCTTCCACCCTTCCTTCCTTCCTTCCTTCCTTCCTTCCTTCCTTCTTCCTTCCTTCCTTCCTTCCTTCCTTCCTTCCATCCTTCCACCCTTCCTTCCTTCCTTCCTCCCTCCTTCCTTCCTTCCATCCTTCCTTCTGCCTTCCTTCCTTCCTTCCTTCTTCCTTCCTTCCA